CCGTTTGAGCGGCGGAAAGTGGAGGCAGAAAATGAGAGAAATTAGATCGAGCAAAGAGAGCAACAAAATACAAAGAGAAACAAGAAAAAACGAGAAATTAAAAAAACCAGCGACCTTCTGCTGATTGCTGTTCGCCTGGTACCTCAGAATTGAATTTAACGGTTTTCTGCCGTTTGAGCGGCGGAAAGTGGAAGCAGAAAATGAGAGAAATTAGATCGAGCAAAGAGAGCAACGAAATACAAAGAGAAACAAGAAAAAACGAGAAATTAAAAAAACCAGCGACCTTCTGCTGATTGCTGTTCGCCTGGTACCTCAGATTTGAATTTAACGGTTTTCTGCCGTTTGAGCGGCGGAAAGTGGAGGCAGAAAATGAGAGAAATTAGATCGAGCAAAGAGAGCAACGAAATACAAAGAGAAACAAGAAAAAACGAGAAATTAAAAAAACCAGCGACCTTCTGCTGATTGTTGTTCGCCTGGTACCTCAGATTTGAATTTAACGGTTTTCTGCCGTTTGAGCGGCGGAAAGTGGAAGCAGAAAATGAGAGAAATTAGATCGAGCAAAGAGACCAACGCAAAGAAACAAAAAAAAGAGAAACAAAAAAAAACCAGCGACCTTCTGCTGATTGCTGTTCGCCTGGTACCTCAGATTTGAATTTAACGGTTTTCTGCCGTTTAAGCGGCGGAAAGTGGAGGCAGAAAATGAGAGAAATTAGATCGAGCAAAGAGAGCAACGAAATACAAAGAGAAACAAGAAAAAACGAGAAATTAAATAAACCAGCGACCTTCTGCTGATTTCTGTTTTTTCCCAAGGTATTCAGATTTGTTGCTCATTTCGTGCCAAAGTTGCACAACAATACTAATTCATTCCCCATGTTGCTAAAATTTTTCCCATACAAATCAAATGTATCTTATGGGACGCCTTCCAGTTATGAACATGCGGCTCACACCACAAAAAGGAGAGGAAAGTCACCACGAAACCGGTCTCTTCACCTCGGAAAAGAGAGCAAATTTTGAATAACCACAACGATTTGAGAGCGAAATATTTCAGTATTTTTTGTGCGATAAATGAGTTTGGCGGTCATTTTAAAAATATCAAAAGTATTAAAAAATAATTGGAACTTGATTACATAATATACCGTAAATATACTGACGGACAAGATGCGTTGATATTTCTCGATTTTGATATTCGGTTTCATATTTCTAACTAGTTAAGGCTTTAACAACTACAAATATAATTTTATCAGATAGATGAATCAATTTTTTACAATCTGACAGACTTTAAGGACTCCCATAATTGGATTAATTATAAAATAAGGTTTGAACAAAGGTCAGCCAAAATGTCAATTTTGGTCATGGTAAATACACGGTAACTACACATATGATATGATACATATTTTTGACTATTTTACCAACTGAAACAGTGTAACCTTACCGTCAAAAATATATCTTTTCATTTTAATAATATACCGAAAAAACGTTGCATGTATATAACTTTCTGTTTGCAATAATTTTTAAAAATAACGGAAACGGTATACAAAAAGCCGTTTAGCAATTCAATTCAATTGTATTAGCAAAATGTTGCATTTTTACTATTAACTTATGCTTAAATGTTTATATTACTATGCCATTTATTACGATACGTGCCTTAAATATAACTATATTATACAGATTTTCGGAAAAATACCTTACAAAAACAAATGTATAAAATGATAATTTTGTCTAAAAAATGTGGGACAAATTGATGTTGCTGTTATGTTAAAATATGTCACGGAAGTGCAGCTGAAACTACTGAACTGATGAATGCCAACGCAAATTGCTGTCATAAGCAATTTCCCCCATTTAAATGTTTTCGGACAGCACAATCATGCGTACATATGTACATACTCGTATGCACATCATGGGTGTTTGTTCAACCTGTTTGAATGAATATTAATCGGATTGGAATACAACATACAACGCCAACAACTCTGTCAGTTTGTCAAAGTAATGGCCTGCGTTGGGGCCCGTTAACTGTGGCGGAGGCAGTTTAGGTTTAACGGCCTATTGCACACGCACATTCGCGCCTTCGCGCATGCGCCGCCTGTGGCACGCCTAATGGAAAACGAGAAGGAGAAACCAGTTTCCCACACAGAGTTTTCTTCCTCGCCATGCGTTTGCGTTGTCTCCGTTGCCGTGGCTGGCTGTTGTGCTTTTTGGGGGGCATTGTCAAGGTCGAATCGTGAGAATATATGGAAGGAAAATACTAAATAATGCAAAACGGACAGGAACTTTAGCATGCACTTGGAGTTGGAGTGCAGTTTGGGCACAATTAGCTTAATTAGAAGCAGCGGCTAACGGTGCAGCATGTACATATGTGTGTACATATGTATTTGTCAACTGTGAAAGTCGGCGGAGATTCTCAGAGGTTGCTTCCTCAACACGCCGCTAATTGGAATATAACGTGGCTAATTATATCAGTCATTTATGAAATCATTTCACTTTTCACCCCGTCCAGAAGCGGCAGCCGAAGCGCAGCTGCAATTACGTTTGCGTTGAGTTTTTATTTTGTGTGTTTGTTCTTGTTCGATTTTATGCGATTCATTTGACGACTCATCGCCACTTGACTTCCTTCCTCATGCACGAGTGAAATATTGCATTGCGGATTGCGGTTATTTTGGGCTCGAAATGAAAGTACGACACACGCAGGGGACGGGCGCTTCCCGAAAGATGATTAATGGAGCGGGATAGCCAGAGGGACAGAGTTTCCCACAGCAGCGGGATAACATAAATGGCATTGTTGGATGATCGGATCAGCATTTATTTATAGCCAGTTAGAATCGGGCAATTAGTTGGACGCTTAAAAGCTCATTTGTTAGCCATAGCCGACGGCTGTCATGTGCAGACAAGTTCAGGCGCAACAAACACACACAAACACGCAGACGGACTTTTTAATTTCAATTCCTCAAAGTGGCAATAACCTGGGACTGGGGCCAAGACAGGGCATAGCTGAGGCCGCTGAAATTTCATTGGTACGCCAATGATTGATAACTTTGCAGGCAAGGCAGCAAAGCAAAAGCAAAAGCAAAGAAAGCCAAAGTGCGCGCAATTCGTTTGGTTTTGGTTTGGCTAATTGATTCAGCATAAATCAATGGCAATCAACAATTAGCCGCTAAACGCGTAATTGCCTCGCTTACAACAATTGAAACTGAACTTGACCCTCTCGCCGGATTGTGAAGTGAAGACAATGCAAAAAGCGAAAAGAACAGAACGGAAGGCCATTAACAACAGCAAGCATACGCTACACTCTGGCCAATTCGCAGTAATGCAATTGCCATTAAAGCAAAGCTCCCTCCAGGCATGACTAACTACGGCCAGAAGCCGTTATGACCCTATCTGGGCGAGGGTATCCATCAATCAATTCGACTTTGGCGGTTGCACCTTGCCGCCCCTCCCCACCCGCAGCCAAGGAGTTTCTGCGGCTGGGGCCAGCTGTGGATTGAACTTGAACTTGCTCTCTCCCTCTCGGCGCTGCCGTTGCCACTGTCTCTTGTTCCCGCTACAAACTACCGCCGTAAGCTTCATGCCTGATTGACTGCTTGGCCCATAAAACAGGCAAAAACTGAATAAACCAGAAAGATAGGCCAGCCTCGGGTGTCGCTGCTGCTAATACACTTGTCGATACTTTTTTTGGTTCTTGTGGAGTAGAATTTAATTATAGATAAATTATAGATAGATTTTAGTTTCATTTTGGAAGGATGTAACTCCAAGACGGATATGAGTGATCTTCCCACCGCTATTTCTTTCGAATACGAGTACTGCTGCGAAACTAGAAACAGAAACATAGAAACAGTACAGAACCACCTTATTTATACACTTTGTAACTTTCTTGTGTGCCAAAATTCTAGGACAAATCACGATACCCTCGGCAAGAGTATAATACTCGTATGTTTAACTCAAACAGAACACATTTTTCGCATAGCAGCAAACAGGTGTGCAAATCGTATTAAATTAAAAATAAACAAACATGACAAGCATTCCCTCACCATGAATTTTATATTTATTTGTTGTTTAAGGGCCACAGACACAGAGACAGATAGACACTTGTAAATGCACATGCTGAGTAGTTATAGATACAGAAACATAGAATACATAAATGTCAATCGTTTAACGATGCGACACTTAAGCTCGAATTAAAAAAGATGCCGCTTAGGTTCTACGGAATGTGCCGCTGCTATCTGCTGATCCGCTTCCGGCAGACATATAACGCGTTATAATTATGATTATGACAGTAGCCGTATATGATATGATTATGCATATAGTATCTATTTTAAATCATTGAAGCGTTGATAACTTTAGCTGTCATTTAAATGAATCAAGAGGGGTGAGGTGAGGACTTTACTAAAGACAATACAAAACAATGTTGGCAAGCACAAAAACATTTCACGGTCAAGCAGAGCCGGAAGAAATTGCCAAAGCAACGTGCGCAGTGCCGCCAAAGCTGTTTCGTTTTTGTATTTTCACCTGCAATCAAGTCAAGGTGTTGCCAGCTTTCCAATTACATATGCTAGACACTGGATAGTGTGGATTTGCATAAGCCACTACAGCATCGGCATCAGCATCGGCAGCAGCAGCAGCTGATTGACTAGTTTGGAGACCCCAAAACTGGTTACCGGAACCAATAAACCAGATGAATATTAATTTGCTAGAAAGTTGAATTGACACTGCAGCCGATTCCGCCCCCTATTTGTGTGAGCACGCGCACTACTCGAAAAGAACATACATATGTAAATCACGTGGCCAGAGTCAAAGGAAAACAATTGCACGTAGACACCAAAGCGGCAGCAGCAGCCCAACCAACAGCAGCAGCACCAAAGCAAAGCAAAGCAAAAGCACTCGGCGGTAGCGAAAAACTCACTCAAAAAGCGGGCAGACGGAGACCCACTCAAAAAACTAACGCACGAAACAAAGCAGGCGCCTGGGTCTGGGGGTCTCATGCTTTATATAAAATCATCTGAGCATATCTGTTGGAATTCATTAAACGTTTTACTGCACAACCCGACCGACGTACCGAGCAGTTAGAGGCCCCGTGAGCTCCGTCGCACACAAATCTTTCGTGTAAGTCAGCTCGATCCGCCACAAAGCTCCCGCCAAGAGTCCAGTCCGGGCAGGCAAGCAGACAGTCGGGCGGGTGGTTCACAGCATTTGAATTTAGTTTTTCCTTTGACTTCGCGTGCTCGTCGTCGTCGTGCCCTGTTCGAATCAAAAACCAAACAACAAACAAATAACAAATATCTGAAAAAATTATATTAACTTAACGCATTGCTGCATTTGTTTTTTGCGTAACTGCAACTGAAATATCACACAAAAAAAACAAAAAACTAATCATCAGTTTTCGGTTAATACAATTCAAAGCCAAAACGTTTTCGTGTCATGCAAATGAAAGAAAAAAAGTGCAAAAGTGTTTAAAAGCCCATAAATAAACATAAACATAATATTTCAAATATTTGTTAACTAATTGCAGCTTCACACACACAAACAGTAGTAGCAGCAGAAGCTCAATCAACCATCAATATGAAATTTGTAAGTATTTTTAACACGTACCTCGTACTTTTTGTGTGCTCTGCAGTTTGCAAGTTTGTTTCGCAAGTCTTTTGTTTTCATTTGAGGTTTACTTTACTCTTGGTTTTTGCGGCAATTGTCACCACATTTTCGATTTGCCGCTAATGCAATATAATTGTTAACACGTTCGGGCCACATTTAAACCGCAAATGAAGTCCGCTAGTTTGGCTTTGACAGTTGTCAAATGACTGTTGCGGTGGCTGCTGGCTGCTGGCTGCTTGGGCTTTGTTTCGTTCTCCAAGAATTTTTATTGGGTGAACCGTGGCACTCTAATTTATGGCCCACAAAATTCGTGTGTGTCAGCAGGCCATGAAGGCAAAAGTCACCGCCTCGATATGTCTATATCTACATACAAATGGATAACCAATCCAATGCCTAAGTAGTTCCACTTCAAGCCAGATGCTCGTTCCTTTATGGCAAGGCCTAACTGGCCTTGCATTACTTTTGGCCATTGCGGCTCTGATGTTTCATCCAACTGACGAACAATGCCCATTAGTCAAGGCAAATTATGCATATTGGTGGGTTGCACTATTACAAAAGATTTCCATGCATAATTCGATAAATGTGGCTGATGGGAATGTGCCTCAAATTGATGGAAATCCCTGACCTTCTCTAAGCATCTAACCCATCAGTTTATAATCATATTTCTTGCAATATCAGCCCAAAATTATACAAATTAAACTAGATTTAATTAGAAGTTTTAGGAGTTTCCGCCCCGACAATGGCCTTCAGTCCGGGAGGGAGGGGGTCGCCAGCAATTACGAGTACATGGAAAAACGCACGCAAAATGCCCCAGACTGAGCCCGAGCTTGAGCAAAAAATGTTCAAGTTCATGTTGAAGGCCACGCAATGCTGAGAGTGCGAGACACGAGACGGCCAGCAGACAGATCAGGCAGCAGCATGAAAAACAAGCTATAAACGTGCAGGGGCATGCGTTTTGTAACATTAATTGAAAAGTGCGATACACACGCGCCAATAGCCAAGAGTCCAAGAGCCAAGCCAAGAAATGCCAAAGCCAAGACCATGCCTCCAAGCCAGGCCCGCTCTGACCGACCGACCGACCAGCTTCTTGTGTCCAATTGCGTGCCGTGCCCCGTTCCGTTCCCCCCCTCCCAAGTGGAGTCTGGCTCCCAGCCGCGTTAGCCTCCAATCATGAATGAATGAATGAATCGACGCTGTGCGTGAAAAAAACCAGATGAAAAGCAAATGAAAAGCACATTTAAAAATTATAAAAATGCAAGCGTGCAATGCATTAGAAACCAAAAAACTTATGCAACTCCCGATGATGGGGGGACTTGGGGAGAAGTGCAGCCCACAGGGGGGGGTTTCTCTGTAGCTGGGGGAATGGGGTCTCTAACTCTGTCGCTGTGCAGTCGGCATCGTTTCATCGGTGGGCCCAGTGGAGGAGAGACTGCAGTGGCTGTGGCACCCTGGGAAACCGCAATCAACGTCGCTCTCGATTAGGATTTTTGGCCCATGCACACGTTAAAGATTTATTAATTGCTCTCAGCCATCGTGCGGTTCCCGTTTTCCATTACCATTCCCCCCGTTCGCATTCCCTCTAGATGTACCTTTCCGTGGTTAATCGTTGTCGCCGTCAACTTTTGCCCAGCCAGACTCTGTGTTGCTCTTTCGGTCCGTCTGTTGTCCAATGTTACTCTGCCTTTTACACGCTTTGCGTGTTGAAATTCAAATTAATTGCCCATACATAGACGAGCGGAGTACGCGCACCGTATTTATTTTGTATTTGCTTTGCTTTGCTTCGGTTTGGTTTGGTTTCGCCTTGCGTTTCGCTTGGCTTCTCTCTAATGAAGATGTCGCGCCGGAAAGTGCCGATTGCCCAATGGCCCCATGTACGTACGTACTGGAGACTCCGACTTCGACATGTCCACCGTTGATGGTGGCGGGTAGTTAGCGGTTGCTGTTTGCATGCTCTTGGCCTGAGACACTTTGGTGGAGATCAACTCCAAACTGCTTGGGTACAGCGAGCAGAAGTCTGCGTGATTGTTGGATCCTTCCAAATAGTTTCTAGAGCCGGAGTAAATCTCCTAGCCAATAAGTGAGTGCAGCTTGCACATTCCCAGAGGATTCATTTGGGTCATCTGAGACAACGATTGACGGCTGAGGCTGAGCATTCATAAGCATCCAGTTGGACTGGGAAAACAGGACTCTAAGCCATGTCATTTGATATCGTCCCATCGGTGAGCTGGCGCACAGCACAGCACAGCGCAAAAATTTTTATGACAATTTTATGTCGCTTAGGCCGCCTTGACGGCGATTAGCGTTGGAGTTTTGCGTTCGCGTTTGCGTTTGCGCAGCAGCTGTTGCAATCGAATCGACAGTCAGACAGAGCAGAGAAGAGAGCGGGCCAGGAGTTGGATTTGAAGTTGGATCTATGGCAGTTTGTCAGTCAGTCAATGTTCATGGCATGGCATGGCATGGCATGGCAAGTGCATGGCATACACATGTCCAGCTACAGGCTCAGCCTCAGTCTCAGAGCTCCGAAAATTCACTGCCCACTGCCCACATGAGCGGCTGCTCGGCGGCTCTCATTCGCTAGTTGCGAAAAATATTTCTGTTAGATTTATCGCTGCAGATCGATAGGGGGTACGTATGCTCCATTACCATATTTATAAGGCATGTGCGTTTTGCGCTGTGTTTGGCATTTTGTCAGACTTTAAATGCTACAAATTTGCTCAGTTCAGCGGCGGCTGTCCGGCTGTCCGGCTATCGGGCTGTCCGGCTGTCTGGTAACCAGTTTGAACTTGAACTCATTCTGCGGGCAGGAAAAAGGAAAATCAATGGCCAGATCAACGTCATTGCTGATTCTCACGCTGCACGAGCGCGCACTCGCAAATTGCACTTCCTAGCCAAATTGATGTTTAATAATTCAATTACAATTGACAATAGATTGAGCAACAACTCCGAGCTCTCGCTCGGACTGGACTGCCCCGGCATGCAGTGCAGTCAGCGGGGCAGCTGGCCACAGTCGTTAGATCCGCGGCCTGACTTTGTTTTCGTTTTCGTTTCGTTTCCCACCTATTAAACACAATTCAAAGTAATTTGAAGCGGCAGTCCAAAGTTTTTTTCTGTTGCTGTTGCTGGTCAGGCCGTGCCGTTGATGTTAATGTTGCCTTTGATTTTGTTGTTGCTGTTTCAGTTGCAGTTTGCTGTTGCTGTTGCACCTACTTCATTCAACACTTTACCCTGATCCAGCCACGAGCTTCCAGCGTCCGTTCCAGCGTTATTTGCGTTTTGCCAACTTGCTAAAAGGCGTCCAGTCAAACTAAAGTCGAGAGTCTCTCTCCCAGTCTCCAGTAGTCAGTGACTTGAAGCCCAGCTTCCGTGTTGAAAGTCAGCCAAATTGTTGCTCAATCGAGCATTGAACCCCAGGATGCCGATCTCCAAAATCCGAAAAAAAAAACATAAAAAAATTAAAATGAACAACACTGGGCGTTGCTATCATTAACAGAAAAGATAACAATAATAACTTTTGTACGGAGAGACTTCAATTGTCTGTCTGTCTGTCTGTCTGTCTGTCTGTCTGCCTTCCTCCCTCTAAAATCCCATTCACTTTTCCAGCCACGTAATTTTCACGCAAAAATTAATTATGCCCGATCCGGTAAATGACAAATCGTTTAAACCTAAACAAGATTAATTAGCAGCTGGCTGCGCATGCCTGACTGCCTGCCACCTGGATATCCATCAGATCAGTCTCCGGGTTTCCCTCTGACTCATTCAAATCAAAGCGGAGCGGAGCGGAGCAGAGCACTTGGCAAAAGCTTCTGGATCAACACCCAACCCCAACCTCATTCAAAGCCCGTGCAATGGTTCAGTTCAGTTCAGTTCTATCCCCTCCACACTCCACTCGATTGGCTGTTGGTTTGTTGGCTTGTTGCTTAGACTTGTAAAGCAATAAATATAATTTATTTTTAACCGCACATTTGCAGCCAATCAAAATCTAAACGCCAATAAATGCCACAGCACAAATGAAAAATCTAATTGAATATTTGAAGCGAAAAGCTAATTGCTGCAATGCTGATTACCGAATACCCTTGTTGAAAGTTCGATATATTCCTTAAATGCCAATCGATATCAGCGGGATGCAGACTCATTAAGGGTAGCTCGACCAAACGTATCAAATTTGAATCACTTTTCATATTGTCATAAATATCTGCCCATTCCAATGCGCCTGGTCAGTTATCAACAGCATGACAATGCTATTATACCCCACAACGGCAAAGGCTATCTACATTTTCATGCTAACGAGACAATGTTCGCCTGTCGTACTTGTACCCTCCCCCAGCCGCGACTAGTGCTCCGTAGTTGCAGTGTTTTATTTTTTTTTATTAACTTTTTACTCGTATGCACTGGCACGCTCACATGTTGCTGCACTTAATCATTGTTTGTGGGTGGGTGGATTTTCGCATGAGCCGCCGTTGGCCAACAGCAACAGCAGCAGGAGCAACAGCAGCAGCAGCCAGAGGTAAGAGGTAGATCCAAAGTACATATTGTAGCTGCCCCGATATCTGTGTTGTGTTGTGTTGTTTGGTGTTTGACTGTGTCTGGGTGTCTAGTATCTCTAGCTAGCGCCACGCCACGCCACCACCCGCTCCAAGTCTCCCTGCCAATTACGAAATCATATCTAAGGTCATTTGTTCAGCTAATTTTTCGTTGCGGCTGCAATCTGCTCTGGCAGGGTGTCTGATTTTTCGGGCTAGGGAGTCACCGTCACCGCCAGCATTGTTCCCAATCCCACTTGCAAATTATGCACTTTAATTAAAAAATTACCGAATTAGCCTAACCAATTACTTTCAAATCGAGATCTAAGCAGTTGCTTGTGAAGTATGTGCGGAATTCCAGAGGCAAGCGAGCAGCGGACGACATTGTGACGGCTTACATGTGTTTTACATGCCCCAGTTGGAGGCACAACTGGAGTACGTTGAGCGTTGACTTGACAGTTCTACCTACCAGTGACAGTGGCAGTGGCCAAAAGGGGATAACCAGATGGAAGACAAGTATTACACGACAGAAGGAATTACACTGCACGAAAGTCCCATTAGGCTGGTCAGTGTTGGAGGATCATTCCTCTCAGTTCAGTTTTTATTGTTTGAGCATCTGGCACACACTGGTGCATAGTATTTCCCTTAACGATCTGTTTGCTTTTGCTGCTTTTGAGAACTCTTTAAACTGGAAATCAATTCCTGCTCCACTGTTTCCCCTCATTGATGTGGCAATAGACGCTGAATTTCAGTCTCAGTCTCAGAGCTTAGAGCTCTGAGCGGCTCTGTGGCAGCCACAACAAACACGAATTAATTAAAAGTATTTTCACAAGTTGCCGGAGTCACTAAAAAGTCTCTCTGGGTCTCCGGCTAGTCTTGTTGGCAAGTTAGCGGCCGAGCCGGGCCGTGCCGGACCGCCTTGTTTGCATACTTTTTGTTGATTATTTTGTTTAAAGGCTGTTTGTTTGTTTTTTTGTGCATTGCATATTTTACTTAATAGCAATTAGCATTATGGCTGTAGCACTTGGCCCCATAGGGTTTTACGTTTATTTGTATCCTTCTTCCAGTTGGTTACACAGGGAGCTCCCAGCTGCCTCCCTTCCCCCTGATGGCCTGCAGGCAGTTGAAGTCGATTGTTGCGCAGGCGCGGCCCATTAAACAATTAATGAAGCACAAAACCTTTTGCAACATTTGCACTGCCAGAGCATTAGCCATAAGAAGCCGACTGAGTACTTACCATACCATACCACACCACACCAGAGCGCACAGTGCTGTCCATAAGTACTCGTACTCGTATGTGCAAGAGCCAGTGTTGGTGCAATTGTCCGATCGGTTGGCCAAAAACCCGTTCTATTAAGTCAAATCTGCCCTATGATTAAAGTCAGTCTGCCAATTGCGTGACGGCCTTAACTAAGACATTCGACACAAATGCAAAGCGTCTCGCGGACAGCTTCAAGCGGATTTATGAACCCGTCGGGCAAACAATTTGCACAGCATGTGCGCTGCCCCCACTCCCACGCCAACTGCATCCCCTTACCTGGTTACCTGGCTGGTTGCCTGCTGGAATGGGGTCACTGGGAGAACGAAACGAGCACAACTGCTATGCTATTTAACCAAATTTATCACACTTTGCCGCATTGGTGACAGCTCAGCTCAGCGGATGATCAACGTGATATGCATGAGCTCGAAATGGATATTTTACTATTGGTCTGGCCTGCTAGCTCTCCCCGAACCACAAAAGCTGTGGAAAGGGGGAGATAGCCAGGGATGTAAACAGATTTTAGCGATAAGAAGAGCCAATCGAAGCAGCTAAGAGCTGGATAATTATTTATTTATTATTATTATTTTCATTTTTATTATTTTCAAATATCTGAAATCTGCCCATGTACTTTTTTGCAAAGATACAAAATAGCTTCATGTCCGTTCCCAGAACTTTTGCCTATTTGGGGCCCATTAAAGTGCAATATTTGTGATACATTCGTTTTGGGGACTACAGCAATTGACGTGGCTAATTGCACGAGTGACCAGGCAGGGACCAAAACTGAAACTGAAAATGAAACTGGAACTGTAACTGAAACTACTGGCTCGTGCCCAAGGCGACTGCACTTGACCGGTGGCAAGCCAAGCCGTTGGCTGGTGGCGGTGTGGTGGCATTCTACTGTGGCCACTGCGTCTTTCGTTTGATATTTAATTGTTGGATTATGGCATTGGCATACATTTGCAGCGCTTAATTGCTTTGGCCAACGTGTGTGTGTATAACCAGTGCAATATCTATAAGCATACATATACCCATACCCATTCACATATCCAGTACATATATTAATTATAATAACCAAATGCATTGTCCACTTGCACTTACAGTTAGTCACCATTGCCGCCCTCTGCCTGTGCCTGGCGTACGTTACGGGCCAGCAATACTTTTTGGGACAGTTCCCGAGTCGTGCCCGCTTTGGATTTGATCCCCTGTCCCTGGCCCAGCCCTCATCTGCCACACAACAAGTGCGGGATCCCCGACAGAACAGAGGTACGATCAATGCAGCGGCGAACAATAATTTTTTCTTTATCTAATCATTTCTTTTCGTTTTTGCAATCTGTTTCTCTTGCATTCACTTTGATCCAACTTGTTGCAGGCCCCGTGGTGTTCCCCCCATCCCCGCCAGATGCAGTCGACGAGTCCAGCGGCGTGGTTGTGGGTGCCTCCGGCTATGGCTTTGTGCCGCCCCAGCAAAGTAATGCGAATATCTTTAAGCGCACTGTCTGAGCACACACACACACACACACACAGGGAAATGAACATACATAGATACAGATACTTAGATACATCTCATACCACACCCACAATCACACACCCACACACACACAAAGAAGAGAAGAGAAAAGCTTTATTAGTTCAATAGTATAGCAGAGCAGAGCAGAGCAGAGCAGTTTATTATATTTTATTTGTTACTTGTTACTACTTGTATTTAATTTGTTGAATATTTGTCGAGTAACTAATTTGCTATCAACTACATATAAAATAAATGTCTTATTCGCAGGAAGAGTCACTGGTTAAACGTAACAAACAAATCTTCACACAAATCGTACATGTGTAATTAATTCAAAAGCTTTATCCACCACTACTACTATCGTACTACACACACACACACACGCACACACAAGCCAAGAAACCTTCAACGCACGCGCACACAGATGCATAGGCACATGCACATGCACCTGAGTATGAGCACGAGCACCACCACCAGCACCGGAAACGGAAATGCGTCCCTCTTTTTAGCTAATTACAAACAAACAAACAAACCAATCAAACACCTGCCGCTTAACCACCCACAAATCCAAATTAATTACCCCCCATCCTCCTCCTATTTCCCCATACCCACACCCACTTCCACACCCTCTCCCAACACCCCACCCCCTAACATTAGTTAGTTTAATTAGCTTGAAAAAACTAAAATTTAACTGCATATTTTTATTGTTTCGTTTTTTATACTTTTTTGTTTAAATTCGATTTATGATTTCTGCTTCATTTTTTAATTTATATTTCAAATTGGAATTGTATTATAATTTTTTTGATTTTATTTTACTTTTAATTTTATTTTATTTGTAACCCAAAAAAGCAAAATTTAAATTATAAATAAAAAGAAAACTACTATTACAAAAAAAAAACAAATCGTATCGTATCCCGTATACCGTATACCGTATCCATGGCAAAATTGTTATTATTATTTATTTGCCAACAAATTCTTTACATTTCGGAATTATTTTTGCATATATTTTTTGTTGTTGGTTTTGTTTTGATTTTGATTTTTGCATTTTCCGTTTGTCAATGCACTATTTTTTAGCTGTTTGTTCGTTTTCTCGTATATGTATCTGTTCTGTGATCACTTTTATAGCAATTATTTTAAGCGCACATAAAACTAGCGCCTAATTAACAGCTCCGATCGGATCCGATCCGGCTTTGAAGTGCGGCGGCAGCACAAATTGAAGGAGTCGTGTGGGAGACGACGGGCGGCGGGCAGACGGACGGAAGCAGGGAAACCATCGACTGTGACCGGGTCGACCGGGGGATGCTCTTCACACTTGAGAGGAGCTGAGCCACAACCAAATGTGGATGGAGTGGAGGAGATGGAAATGGAAATGGAAATGGAATTGGTTAAACAAATGTGTTGAACAAAACGGTACGATGTAATAAATCTTCAGAGATTGCAGTTCCTTCCGCTGCGCAAGGCGGAAGGTAGGCCAGACCAAACACAACTCTGAAAAAAATCAGTAAGGAAATCTCATTAGCTTCCCCTGGGCAATTCTGTCTGCATAAAGGCAGTGCCAAGATCTTACACCAACTATTATACCTCCAACTGGAGAAGAGAATACATTTTAAACAGTTTCTTTAACGATACGAAGCCAGACAGGCTGACAAGCGGACAAGGCAGAAGCAGGTGCTGGCACAACAATCAACAGTCAGACCACAAATGGCACTCTTGTGCCCGTGCCGCGGAGTCTCAGTGGAGTTTAAGGGGAGTCTGGCTCCACAGACCCAATGAGCAGCACATACTTGCATCTGGGAGACGCCGAGTCAGAGGCAGAGACAGAGACAGAGAGGGGCACAGACAGAGCCACGGGACCTGGGGACCAGACGGAGTCAATGATATGCGCGACTAATGCGACTTTTGCTTTGCTTTTACCGCATGCAAAATATGTTAGCAGTTTATTTTCGATCTTTTTTTGTACGTGCCGAGCGCAGAGTTTTGCTCTGCTCTTTTTTTGCATATCGATATTGAGGCAGAGACAGAAACAGAAATGGAGCAACTTTTTCTGTGTGTACTGGAGGAGGACTTGGACCCATTGCACGAGTACAAATGAATGGAAAGACATTTCACAATGAACTGCAAGCGAAAAACAAAAAAACATAAGCCGAAACAGAAACAGAAACAAAAACAGAGACTAAGACCGAGTGAAAAAAAGCGATCGAACAAACGACGCTAAGTTAAGATAATTTTTACAATTTGACAATTTATGCACGATTGCTGCGGAGCCTGAGAGCGCACTCGGGTCTCCACGACAAGGACCTGGTCTAACAGGCCAACAAATGGCCATTGTGTAATTAATTTTGCATAGCAAAAGTTCTCTTTCCCTCTCCACAAATGGTTGGTTACGCAGTTGGACGCGGCTGGGCTTCCTGATGAGGACTTGGGGACTGGGACTGCCTGCGGCTAGGAGACCCAGTGCCAGCACTAGTGCCAGCAGGCAAATGGCAATCTATAACTGAAGCCGCAGCGTAACAATTACCCAAGACTGGCGTAGATTAATGGTCGAACTGTGGTACTCCGCACCGCTCAAGCTCAAGCTCTATTCCAGCCATGAATTCGAACGGCAATTGGAATAGTTTGGCGTTGGGCAATTGCCAGCAGCAGCGCAGCCGCAGCCGCAACCGCACCGCCGCCACCCACCACAATCACATTGGTGTGTAATGTGTCCGACATTCTAATCAATGTGGCGGCAGGGCGTTGTCGTTGTCGTTGTCGGACCCAAAGACGCACTGGACAAATCAAAAGACAGCCCAATGACTGTGACGTCGACTCTGTGATTGACGGGGTGTGTGTAAGTGTGTGTGTCTTGGCTTGAAGCTTAACCTTCAGGCCCGCTTCGCGTCAATGGGGGTGACGCCCACACTTGGAATTTACCCACTTGGCACCCCAGCTACAGTCACAGCACCGCAAACACCACCACTAATCCCCCCACACCACAAGTGCACTTGGCCTGGCCCAATATTCGTATTATTAATCGAGAAAAAAAAAACCCAAAACCCAATTAAAATGCTTTTGTTTGTGCTTCTGTTCCATGACAACAGCGGCAGCGGTAGTGGCAGCAGCAGCAGCAGCTGCAGTGGCGGATCCAACGTTCTTTGGCACCAGCTTCCAGACACCCGACACCGCGTATGCGACATATAACTACTTCAGTAATCCGTATACCACACGGTTTAGATACTTCTGAGGATGCGGATATGGATGCGAATGTGAGATGATGAGGAACCATGTCGAGTCATGTTGTGTAGTCAGTAGCCTAAATAAAACAGGAACTGGAAGCAGGAGAACAGAAGAAGTAAGGAGGAGGAGAAGGAGGAGGCGTAGGAGCAAGAGCTGGAGACTAGATACAATTCTTTTGTAAATAAATGTGTTAACTTTATGGCATGGCAGAGTTTATTTTTTCTCCTGCACAGCAATTCCCGTCGCACAAATCTGGATAATGGGGGGGAATCATCGTCATCATCATCGCCATCGCCATTGGTCTTGGAATGCTGCGAATGCGCTTGGGCATTGCATTGCGAGAAATCTGTGCTCTGGCAGGGAAATAGACATGACATGACAGCACAGCACAGCAGCGCAGCTCCACAATTGCATGTCTGCCGCCGCTGCCATTGTATGCTAAATTACGTATACGCCTAGGCAACCAACAAAAACCAAAGACAAAGCCGAGGCCCAGGCTGAAGTTGAAGCCAAAGTCATGCCGGGCCGTGCTGGGCGGTGTTAATTTCCATTGACACTGGCGATGTTGCGACCAAAAGTGTCCGCAGCGCGTTATATTTATTTATTTATTTATTTGTATTTGCAATTGTCAAAAGTAGCAGAGCACCGCAATGCCGCCGCTTTATGTACTCGTAATATGAAAATAAAGCAAACAAACAAAAAAAAAACAACAATTTTACAATTCTCGGGCGGTTTCACAACAATGGCGGCGGGATCATTAGCAAATGGCATGATTCACAGGCAGCAGCCGAAGCAGTGGCAAAATAAAAACTGAATGTGCCCCCCTGGATAGGACAGGATTGGATTGGATAGGGGAGTGGGAGTGGGAGTGAGCGGAGGATTTTGTCATAATTTCATTGGAATTGCAACCCAGGAACGGCCGGCCAATCGTGTTGATAACCTTGCTTGACCACAAGAATTTCGAACGAAACGACAACTTGTGCCGACTGCAAGTTCAAATTTATTCTATGACACCGCCGTAGGCAATAAATGAAAACGAAACCATGAATGTGACAAATCAACAATCAGGCAAAGGCGGAATAGATATAGCCAATGGCTGTGGAAATCATGGCACGCTCCTGTTTCTCACTGTCCCTCTCACTTTGCTCACTGATCTAATATTAAAGAGTGTCTCTGTACGGTCCCACAATTTGTCGGATCTGTCAGTCCTGTGCAGAAATCACGTAGACCGTTTATCGCCTGACCTTCAGCTCTTTTGCAAAATCGTTTTGTGACTCCAATTCCATCTGGCAATTAGCTATTCTATAGATCTCTGAAACAGTGGCAGTAATTAGCATAATTCGGAATTTACTATCACTTTTAATTGTTTTGGTTGGCCTTTCCAAACAGACCAGCCATGAGCGATACTCACAGATTGGGTACTTATTATATCCCCGTCTGTTTTTAGTTCACTTCCAGAACTAAAATTTTAATTTTAAATAGTTCACCAATTTATTTAAAAATGATAGCCGACTACCGATAACCGATAATCGCGTAAATCGGGATTTAAGAATGTTACATCTACATGTAACTTTGATACATGACATAATACTTATTAGAGACGAGACGTCTAGTATTCGGTATTTTCAGAAAATACTTTTGTGCGGTCACTCTAATAACCTAGCGCGGTCACACTGCTTAAGAATCTTCTGGATTTGGCAAAAAATAACAAAATTTGTTAAACAAATACAAACCAAGCTAAAATGCTGCAATGCTACAACAGAGGCTGTGGCCAGCTTTTCGATGAAGCTGCCAATAATGATGGTAAGCTGGACTGATGGCCATTCAAGGCACGTGCTTCATCATAAGATTCGTATTCCCTACGCAGAATCTTGCCGGCACCATCCCGGAGAGCCGTTCTTTCATGATGCCTACAAGGGCTGGTCGTGCTGCCACAAAAAATCGGTGGACTTCACCGAGTTCCTGAACATCAAGGGCTGCACACTGGCGAAACATTCGAATGTAAAGCCCCCAGAGCCGGAGAAACCAACCAAAGACGACAGCAATGAGGCCAAGGACGAGGTCATCGTAGTGCGCGCGCCCATACGAGAAGCTATGCGCAGGCCACCTTTAGAAACACCATTCAGGGTCCTTCAGCCAACAGTTGCCGCTGCCCTGAAAGAGACTATAGATACCCTGAAGGTGAGCAGTGCTGCTCCGGCAGCAACGCCATTCGGAGAGGCAAGCGATGCCATCGCTGTGGGCACAAGTTGCAAAAACAATGGATGCTCCCATTCATTCACTGGCACGGACAGCGATAACGGCCAGTGTGCCTATCATCCTGGTGTCCCCATCTTCCACGAGGGTATGAAATTCTGGTCATGCTGCCAAAAGCGTACTTCAGATTTTGCCCAATTCATGGCGCAGAGGGGCTGTGTGAACGGCCAGCACAAGTGGGTCAAAGAGGTTATGTCTACACCGAATACACAATTCATATTGAAGACTAATTAAATATTAATCCGCAGAACGAAGACAAGAAAGGTGGTGCAGTGCCGATATGATTGGCATCAGACGGCCACAAATGTGGTGGTGGCCATTTACGCGAAGAAGTATCACTATGCCCAGAGTGTGATAGAAGTAAACCCTATCCGGCTGCATGTGAAACTCGTTTTCCCAGAGCAGGAAAACGCCACTTTTGACATTGATCTGGAGCTGGGAGGCGTAAGTCTTTAAGTTTATCATTCCCAAACTCTTTTTCAAGATGCAACTCTTTTTTGCAGATTGTCAATGTGGACAAGGCGAGTGCATACATGTACGGCACCAAGGTTGAGATCACATTGCCCAAGCTGGAGGCAGGGTCTTGGTCAAAATTGAATTTCAAACGTGCCACAATGCCAGCGGCCAAGAAAACCATTGCCGCCGAAGTGCCAAAAAACGATGAGAGCGATGAAGAGTTCTTCGACCTAGACGACATCGAGCCCGTGTACACTCATGGCCTGAAATTGTCCGATATGAGTTTACAACAACCAAACAATTTAGATTAGCCAAAAAAGTACGCATTTAATGTTGCACAGAATACACGAATGGGCCTTCAAAAAACCATTTTTTTTTCAATATCGCAGCTGCAGTTCGTTCAATCATCATCGTCATCGGCCCCAGGCACCCAGTCCTCATCGTCGTCATCATCCAAGTCCAGCTCGCCAATATCTTGAAACAGTGTCTCGTCGATCTTGACGTTTTCAAGGTTTTCGCCCGCCTCCAGCAGGAATTTAATGTCGGAATCATTCAGCGTGTTGTCGCACATAAAGAGCTCGCGTCCAGTCAGCTTCTTGCAATCATTAATCTTATCCCTTTTCGCTGCGATGCCCGTGCTCTCCTCAAAGTCAATCTTCCACTTCATGAACGTCTCGACCGACACGCGCGTACCCTCGAATTTCTTGCGCTCCTCCTCTTCCACCTCCCGCAGCTTCTGCACACGCTTCTCCTCCGCCTGGGTTGTATGCTCATCCCAACGCTGGTTGAGCCACTCCTGGGCACTGCTCACCAGCGAGAATATCATCTCCATGCCAAGATTTTCCTCAATAGTTATCCGCAAGTGCTCCAGCAGACGTGTCTCGAATGTGTCTTCAAAATTTTCTGCTTCCTCAATTTCCACATCCGGCGCCGCATCTGGATAGGTGGCTGTGTATGTGAAGACCAACTTGCAGGACAATCCATTTTCATTTTCCCCTGCACTGTACTCTTCTGTCGCAATGGGAATTTGGAATTTGTGAAAAGGCTCGGTCGCAAGAACTGTGTGGAGAGAGAGTGCATTAGTTAGATATTTCGCAGACGTCTCTGTACATACCCTCCATTTCGCCGCAGTAAATAGAATCCAGAGCTTCGACCTCACTGCTCTGATCCTCCTTGTAATTTCGGCTCATTGTGCAAAGAGTTTAGCAATTTAAAAAATAAATAGGCGAAATTCCCTGTCGCCGCTTTGAGGTTATATCGTTCAACTATCGTTTAGTTAAATTTAATCGATAGTTCACACTAGTATCGCACAAAACCATCGATAATTACAACATTTTCCGCGCAATGAGATTGAAACGAATGATATTTAATTGGACATTTTAAATCTAAAGAACTATCCATTTTATTCAAATGAGGATTATTCCAAGTATAGAATAATACACTTTGTGTTTAATGGTAAAGAATTTGTGTGTTTCCTGAGGATTTCACATTTGGATGCTAATTTGTCGTCGTCCTGCAACCGTCTTTGTAGGAATACCTTAGGTCTAGTGCATGTTGGAATCATCTTCATCGGGCGAAGACAATCTGGAATAAATCAACATTTAAAACATTATTTCAACATAAACGTGGGGCATCCATCCAACGTACTTGAGTATTCTGATATATGGACTTTCTTCCACTTCCGTGTCCAGGGGTGTCAAAAAGCAAAACTGTCGGCTTCTCCAATTTTTTCCCTCTTTAATTAGCAGTTCAGTTATAAACTTTCGGTTGACTTCGTCCTGCAATGAACAAAAGTTTAGCCAACTCGTGTACAGAGTCCAAAACTCCCGGTACAACTCACGGTAAAAACGTCATATTCGTCCAAAAAGTAAAACGGATGATCTGAAGTTGTCCACAATCCTTTCAGCAGTGAAACTGTTGTGAAAGAGCGTTCGCCCCCGGATAGACTTTTTGCGTTTGAGGTTTTGTTGCCACTTGCCGGGAAAACATTTATGTCCCAGGTCTTAGCTTTTATATCATTGTCAAAGGTCACTTTAAAGTGTCGCAGGTCTAGGGCATGCTGTGGAACATTTTGAAAGGGAAAACGTTAATTTAATTAATAAGAGAAACGACGCAACACTTACTTGAAAATTAAACTGAACCATTGTTAGGTAATGATAGCGAGATCTCTGGAAATTTTGCGCATTGCCGTGGTACGCCTTGCGCAGATGCTTGATGACAGTGTCCGTTATGTTAAAACGGTTGGCATCCTCGCCAAGCTTATCCCGCAGGACACTTAAATTCTTCTCCAACTCTTCGGGATCGTAATTTAGTTGCTCCACTTGCCGTATTTTCGATTTGTGTTGACTTATTAAATCTTGGAGCTCCTCTTCTGTCTCTGTCGTGGCGATAAATTCTCCCATCAGCTTGGCCGCTTGGCGCACCTTCTCCAATTCATTGATAATATCCTGTTTAGCTGCTTGATGATTTTGGCCGAGCGCTACCATTTTCTGGAGACGTTGATTATTTTGCGAGAATTCAGAGTCCAAGGTACGTAATTGCTTTGTGACTTCGTAGGCCTCCGTATCGAGGGTCTCCATTTGTTTGCTTATCTCCTCGAGGGCCTTCATTTCATCGGATTTCATAGCTTCATATTGGGCCTTTTGCTCATCGATTTCTTCGAGTTTCAGCTTCAGCTCACGGCGTTCTTCTTTACATTTCTCCATTCTCTCGGCGCAATCGGCCAAGTGGGTTTTCTGTGCAAAACAAAAAACATGTAAATGTTTAGACTTTGAGTTTATAATGAATGCACTTACCAGGCGATCATATTCTGGCAGATCAGGATGCTCAATGTTTTCAATTTCAATTATCTCTTGGGTAGCCTTCTGCACCACGGCACGATATTGAGATATTTCGTTCGTCTTTTGGGTGACCTCCTGAGCTGTGCGCTCCAGCATTTCCCTCAGTGTCTGATAGTCGGCTTCAATCGATGCCGCACGCTCCTGCAGACTACGCTGCTCATCCTGCAGCTGCCGGATGCGATCGTCCACATTCACCTGCATGTATCGTCCGGGGAATATACGAGCCGTATAGACGGCATAGTTGGGCGATGGTATGTACTCCAGTCCCAGGTTTGGCACCAGCACACGCGTCAAATTGGGTGGCACATTCTCCGTGTCGGAAGTAAGGAATTCGGCTATCTCTTTGGACTCGGTCACCAGCACCGTCTCGATGCGCATCGTATCTATTAGGTAGTTCATTACAACCGGATCATCGCAGCTATGAATTCGTTAGGGAATAGAGTACTTAGATAGTGCAAATATATTATGAGTCGTGACTTAAGCCTCACCTGATTTCATCGATCAGCACTGTTGTGTTCGGTGTAGTGGCCTGAACTTTTAATTTGGACACATTGTAGACGCGATCTGTGAACGTACTGGTAATGATGTTGGGCACCTTGTTGCCATAGAACCGCTGGAGTAAGGCTCTCAACGCTTGACGCTCCTTGTCAGAGCTAACGATGTATGAGCGTAGGCAAGAGGATAACTGTTTCTCAACCAAATCCCTGTACTTGGGATTGACTGCAGTTATATATTGGCCAATCGGACCGCGCGGCATTCGGTGCTGGTTCGGGCCGCTATACTGAGAGCGCAGGGCACAAACCACTTTGATCGCCTGCTCGCCGTAAATGGATAGATTGTTGCTTTTGTTGCGACCAAGCGTGTCAATTTCCAATTGGATGTTTTCTGCACAGAGAAAAACAAGAAAGATCAAATAATAGCTTCAGCTGAAAATTAAAATTAACCTAAAACTCACGCTTGGTTTGATTAATTTTGTTCCTATCGAATCGCCGGGCGTCCACCTGTTCGCGGACAGAACTCAATCGTTCTTTTGTCTCCAATTGATCGTCTCGGGCCTGTTTAACAAGCGCCTCGCTCTCGACGACCAGCTTCTTCAGCTGCACAGCTCTGGTGGCGTTCTCCTCTCGCTCCTGTTTGGCTCTAGCATAGTCGGCATGGTAATTGTTGATGTGCTTTTCACAAGCATCGTATTCGTGCTCCTCCTCGTTGAGGCGTTTTTCGGCATTTTTAATTTGTGTTCGGATATTGCTGGCTTTCAAATAATGCTCCTGCAATATGCGCGCGGCCTCACGCATCTTTGTCTCATGCGATTTGTAGACATCTTGGTTATGCTTTTTCTTTTCCTCAAAGGTGCTACAAAAAGAAATAGCATGGTACATGAAGATTGTTAGGGACTCAACTGAGTCAACTGCTCAACTGACCTCAACTTTTGCGTGAGTGTGGCTTGAGCTGAGTCCTTCTGTGATGTGGCTGCTACCAGCTTGGCCTTCTTTGTTTCAATCAGTTTAATCGACTGCTCACAGTTAGCTAGCTCCTCCTCTTGTCGCCCCACCGACAGCCAAGCCAGCTTGGAGTTGGCCTCGGCTAGCTTCAACTGAAAGTGCATACAAGTTGTTAATAAAATATATGTATCTAGTGGGCAGCAAATACTTGCCTTGACTGCTTCCTTATCCCTGAATGTGGCCAGCTTTTCCTCCTCCGCCTTCACCAGTTCTGCCGATACTTCCTTTCTCTGCGTTAATGGGAAACTGAGTAAGCTAAATGCACCTACATATATGATTCGATTTGAATTACCTTTCGAAAATGTTCCAAGGCTCTGTGATGCATTTTACGTTGAGCCATACATTCGCCTAGTGCATTAATGCAAGTATCCATCTGTGTTGCCTTCATCAGCAGCGAGAAATTCGATGATGGCTCCAGTCTGCAAAAGTATTTAGGTATAATCAACGTTCATCTTTTCGGTTAAACAAAAATTGCAACTTACTTTTTTAGAAATTCACGTGCAGAATCCTGGTTTAGCACAAAAATTGGATTCTCGACGTGAATGCGAAAGCGGCGCAGCAAGCGCTTAACATCATCTAATTTTTTGGAGACAATTTTACCGCGTGCATCCTTTAGCTCATATGACGAGGCTGATTGGCGAATGTGCCGCACCACCGTCAGATGCGGTCCCATATGTTCAGCATCGAATGGGCACATTCCCACATTACACAAGGTTATTTCGATTTTGGCTGCTGTTTCGCCGTTTTTAATTAGCTCTGAAAACAAAATGAACAAATAAATCAGCTGAAAGGGCAAGTGGTATGGTTGTAAGAACGTACTCTTAATGCTGGCCGCACGGTTAGTGGCGCGCGCATTGCCTGCCAGACCCAATGAAAGCGCTGTGATCACGGCACTCTTGCCACTGCCATTTTTGCCCACAAGGAAGTTGATGTTGGGACCAAAATCCACGGTAAAATTCTCATGGCACATGAAATTCTCCAGATGAATAGATATGACCTTGCCGCAGCGATTAAATTCGCATGGTATCTCTGGTTCGCACTGAAATGAGATGAAACACAGTTAGATACCAATTTAACCAACTAAATTTGAACTAAACTCACCGAAAGACTTAACGATGAACATGATGCCTGGGACCTGCGCGAGCCTGTCGACTGTCGACTGCTGCTGCTGCTGTTGTTGGCTGGTACCAGAAGACTGTCCAAGTCCTGCTCGACAATATCTACGTAATCTTCTGGAACTGAGGCATTCTTGCTCTTTTTATTTGTCGGCTCCGAGGAAGAACTATCCCCATCCGATTCCGACGATAATTTTCGACGCATTTTGCGTTTGTTCTCCATTGGATTTGGTATTCGATTCGAATATACAATTTCTATATCTCTGAAAACAAAAAGCGCGGGCGAACTGAAAGTAAACGCTAGTCGCACTAACATATTGTGATCGGAACTTACTTGGATATTTGCTTTCTAGAAAGAAAGAGTTAGCTGAGGTTCGGCATAGGAAATGATAATGCCGAATGCGGGAATTGTGACGAAACTGTTTGCTTTGCTAAATAATTCCGCAGTGAAACGCTTGCTGTGACCAGAGCTGGGAAAACTTCGATGACATTGATTGATGACTGCAGATATCGATGTTTGGGTTGGCGCCGAAGTGGCAACATATCTATATTATATTTATATATAAATATATACATATATACCAGTGAATATATATACCGAGCATAAATGCTGGTCTCACACTCTTCAATTTAAATGCAGTGGAGTACGATTTTTGTTTGAATGTGTTTGTCTGTATGCGATATGTGCAAATGGAAAAACAGCGACTATATCGATGCTACCATCTCTATTGTTTTTCCAGCTACGAATTGACCTTGAAGTGCAACAGGATTTTTATGCACAATTGCAATTATGTCTGGCTCTGAAGATGATGACTGGTTTACCAAAGACGAGGAGGAGATTGAGCAGAGCTTCCAGGACCAGGTGAAGCAACAGGATGAGCAGAAGGAGGAGGATGAGCAGATATTGTGCAGCGATGCCGTGGGTATGTGGGGGAATTCCATTGTTCTATAGTCACAGTTCATAGTCCATTGTTATACGATTTGTTATTTGAGACGGCCACTTTCAGACTGTTTGAAACAACTTGATTTGGAGAGCAGCGCTGGTGAAACCAAGGCATCGGGTCGCTTTGCAACCATAGAACTGTCGAAAGCATTGAAAATGTTACCCGTGGATATGTTCCTCTATTTCATGTCGGAGGATCGGGATTTGTTTGTGGCTCAACTTGCCGGCAATGACAGCCTGAAGCGTCTGTCCATACTTTTGGAAGCTCTCAAGTCGATCTGTCAGCTGGAGCTGGGCGGATTCGATGATCAGTTCTTGGCCGCCTTCTCCAAGCAGACGGTAATCTTCAATTCGTTCCGGCGTTTTGCCCTGGCGATCTCCGCAAACGCTTTGCAAGGCAAATGCGATGCAGAATCTGAGCAGATTTTAAGGAACATGATATGGCTGATGGCACGAGCGAACAAGATCGGAGTTCTTGGACAGCAGGGCTACGAATTGGTGGGCATCTGCAAGAAGCTGATCGCAGAAAGCAAGCTGCCGCAGCTTCTAGCCTCTGACTTGTCTCAAGAGCTGGAGGTGTTTACAGACACACTGCCAGCCTTGATCAACGTTAAGGGCGAAATCTACCCAACGGTGGACAGGCTGCTCCAGCTGGAAAACTTGGAGCCACCCAATCCACCAGCACCATCTGCGTCCAACCAAGTGGCAGACTATCTAAGCACACAGCGTCACATACTGCAGCAGGATTTCTTTCTGCCTTTACTGGAATTCGTTCAGTATCTACGAGCCGGATGCAATGTAGATGGTCTGGAGGAGCGGGGTCTCCTCTGGCGAGGCACACAACTTGATCTGAATCCGGAATTTGTGGATGCGCAACGACACAGCCTGGTTTTCCTTAACCTACGACCTGTCGCTGACTCAAAGAAGATAAAGATTAATAGAAAATTGATGGAGAACTTCAAAACGGGTGCTCTGCTGTGCCTGACCACTGGCTTGGACTTTGAGAATCTCATTTTGTGCACCGTTGGCTACACCGAGCCTGCCAAGCTGAACGAAGGACTTGTAAGTGATAACAGAAGGTTTTTCTCACGTTAAATCTAATCATATTTGTAATCCCCAGCTGAGTGTGGTGATTGTAAAACAATACAACATTGGCAACATCTACGAGCGACCGTTGATGATGTTCCAGACGCCCGTATTCTTTGAGCCATATGTTCGGGTGCATAATTACCTGAGCACCTGCAGCACAGAGCAGTTCCCAATGCGTCGCTACATTGTGGATGGACAGGCAAGTAGCATATGTATATCTAAAATATGTGAATATTCTAAACCTAAAGTTATACACTTGCAGATTGATATACGGCCACCAGCGTACATTAAACCTGACGTTAAGCTCACGTATAATCGGAAACCGTTTACGCCGTCGCAGCCACCCCAGGACCTGATTTTAAATGACAGGCAAAGAAATGCATTTGAGGCAGCCTACACCAATGAGTTCTGCATTATACAGGGACCGCCTGGTACAGGCAAAACGCATGTTTCTGTGGAGCTGGTAAACAGTCTTATACAGAACGCCAAAGTGCTGGGCACTGGACCCATCATTGTGCTAACTTATACGAACGACTCTCTGGACAAGTTTCTGGTAAAGGCATCGAAATACACAAGGGAAATACTGCGCTTCGGTTGCCAGACGCGCGATCCACAATTAGCCAAATTCAATGCCAATTCAATGCTTGACCCGGAGCTGGTACCGCCACGCCTGAAGCGCGTGTGGTGGCTGGTGAACACTGAATACAAAGAGCAGTTCCAGCGACTTCAAACGCTGTACGCCAACTTTGATGGGAGCGAGGGGAGCTACCAGGAGACCCTGGTCGCACAGGAGCAGCTGCAGCAGGTGTCCGAGAGACTGGACACTGTGCGCATCATCTTCCAATATTATTTGGCTAGAAACAAGGATCTGTTGGCCATGACCACAACGTGCGCGGCTCGTTTGAATTTTCTGTTTCGTCTGCTGAAATCCAAGTGTTTCATCTTCGAGGAGGCAGCCGAGATTCAGGAGGCACACATACTGGCCTGCCTCACACCCCACACGCAGCACGTTATTCTCGTGGGGGACCACAAGCAGCTTCAGCCCTTCACTGGCTGCAGCCAGCTGTCGCAAGTCTCCCTTTTTGAGCGCCTCATCGATAAGGGCCTGCCCTATTCTCTGCTCAATGTCCAGTACCGAATGCGTCCCTGCATTTCGGGGCTTCTGGTGCCCAGCATCTATGAGGAGCTGCTCTGCTCGGACTCGACGAATGCTTACGAAGACGTCCGCCTTATGGACAAGAATTTGTTCTTTGTGTCGCACAATAAACCGGAGAAACCGCAGCTAGATATGTCCATTGAGAATATTCACGAGGCCAAAGAGCTGGCTGAGCTGACGGAATTCCTGCTGGAAAAATCGAAATACGAGGCCAGTGATATTGTGATTCTGTCACCCTACAATGCCCAAGTGGAGCGCATCAAGAAAACGGTTCATAAACAGATTTCTACCTCAACTTTTAATTGCTAATCCATTCCAATTATTCTGCAGCTCCCGATGAAATATGCAAAGGGTCCAAATAGTGTCCAGGTGTCGACCGTGGATAGTTTCCAGGGCCTGGAGGCGAACATTGTGCTGCTCTCGCTGGTGCGCAGCAATCCGTCCGGCCACATAGGGTTTCTGGGTAAGCCGAATCGTGCTTGTGTGGCCCTTTCCCGTGCACGCTGGGCGCTCTACATCATTGGGAACATGGAGACACTGCTGCAGGGCAACTCTGAGCTGTGGTCAGCGATTGACAAACGTTTGAAGGAGGCCAATGCCATAGGCGAGGCATTTCCAAAAGTAGTTTGATCTCCAATTAAAAAACAACATAACGTTTGTTATACATTTGATTCCTGGTTTTATTCGTATGTATGTATGTATGAGGGGAGGGTGGAGGTTCTCTGAATGAAGATGGCCTGCCCATGTGCGCCTCGGTATCAATCAGATTTACATTTAGTATTATTATTTGTTGAAACTGTCATATTGAATTGTTGAATTTCACATTGTATATGCTGGTATATGGAGACGGTGCTTGGTTGTTTCGATTGATTCTATTGCTAGACATTTATCCCATACCACACACGACACTTATGCATTAACGGATATAGTATTGTATGTACATGTATCTACTGTAAAGTAGTTAGCGCAGCTCTTCAGGTCTACAATATGTGGACGTTTAAGCAGACACACCACAAAAAGTAGAGGTATGCAAGGGTTCGGGTTTTGCTGTTTTGTTTCTACATTCAATACACATTCAGGGAATTGATTGGTTGTGGGGTGGCCCAATAAGTATACATATCTATACACATAAGCTTGCATATCTTGTACCGGAGTATCTCTATATAGTAGGGTTTACTTTGTCCATTTTTCCCCCATTTTGATTACATATATTGTTTTGTTTGGTTAAAACCTTTTTTTCAAAAAACGGTCCATCAATTAACTCTGCATATTTTCCCATCTTGTTTAATTTTTTTTTACAGTATTTTAGGTTTATTTTGTTACCTTTTACTTATAGTTAAGGGTTTGTTTTTGCTATTTTCTTTTCTCACTTTCTTACGATCTACGACTGTTAAATGAAACATTTGGCTTACATTTATGTTCGGTTTTTCGGTTGTTACAAGAACTAAACAATGTACACAGATCGATCGTATCTTTAAATATAGTTTTATTCGATGGGGAAAACATGGGTGTGTTTGGGGTGTGTGTGTGTGTGAAATGAGGATAAAACCAAAAACGAGAAGTGAGGGCGAGGGTCAGATCAGCAAGTAAGTTAATATCCTCCAATTACGAGCTACGATCATAATTTTTTGTTTTGTTTTGTTTTTTGTTTTGTATTGCATTGGTAACGCGATTTGCGAACCAGCGCACAAAGGAGCGAGGCCTCTACAACGTCGTCAACTTATAACTTACTGGATTTTTGAGGATGATAGTTTGCGTGGAGGGGCATGAGGGGAGGGGTAAATCAAATCTTTATAACGTACATAACTAAAACTGAATCTTGGATGCGGACAGAGCGCCACGTCAGTTGGGTGTGTGTGTGTGTGTGTGTGTGTGTGTGTGTGTGTCTCTGTGCGACAAGTGGTCGTGGATTGGATGTCTCTCTTCATGGCGGTGGTGGTGGCAGCTTGTCTGTTGGTGGTGCCGCTGCAGCTGCTACAGGATTGACCTTTCTCTGTGCCACTATGCGATGGCTGTGGCTGTGACTGCCGCTGCCACTGCCACTGCCACTGTTGCTGCGTCCCCTGTAACTGCTGCCGTGAATATTATTTACCCCACTGCCACTGCTGCTGCTAGTGACGACGACGCCGGCGACACCACCACCACCACCACCACTACCACTGCTCCCACTTGCTCCTCCTCCGATTGTGGCTGCTGTCCGTGTAGTTGTCGTTGTCATCATGGTGGTTGTGGTGGGTCTGCCGCGTCTATTCTATTGCTACCGTCGGTTGATCAGCCCATTGGGAGGCGCCTGGCTGGCCGTGTGCATCAGCTCCAGTTCAACAAGCAGCGGAAAATGGTCGGAGGGTATATGCGGATGGGGACAGCCGACCACCTTGTTCTCGCGCAGCCAATCATTTGAGACGGGCCCGAGCAGACCCAGCGGCACCATGCCCGTCTTCGTATAGAATATGTAGTCGATGATGCCCTTGAAATCGAACGTGTAGTTGGTGTGCGGCATGATGTCTTCGCTGTAGGCGGAGGCCAGTTTGAAGGAATGCGTGAACTCGTTGGTGTCGTTCGAGAGCAGGCGCTGCAGGCACGACTTGTAGCCCATGTCCTTGAAGTCCAGATGGTCCATGGAGACCCGTCCCTTGCCCAGATACTCAACCACTCCGGAATCGGGTAGCGAATTGAAGTCGCCGCAGAGCAGCAGCTGAACGCTGTTCGAGTCGTTCTTGTGTCCCGGCCTGAAGCTGTGCGAGGCCTCGTCAATTATCGTCTTCAGCTCGTTGCTGAGCATCATCGTCTGAATGAGCTTAACATCGCAGAATTCCGGATCCCAGTGGATATGCGCCGTGCAGACGAGCAGCGGCTGTGAGATCTGTGTCACCTCGGACATCGGCTCCCAGGCATTCTCCTTCACCTTGAGCAGCGCAGCCAGACCAATGTTGTCCTTGGGCATCACACGGTTCAGCATGTTGTCCGATCCCTCGGCATTGGCCATCGCCAGCTGATTAAATTCGATCAAGTGCTCTTTGATCAAGGTGAATCTGTAAGCGAATCATACTTTAGCATCCTCTAGCATCCTCTACCATTCTCTATAGCCAATACTTACTTTGAGGCCCTGAAGAATATTGCACATCCATCGACATACTTCCGCTCCACCTCGGACATTGTCTTGGCACGCGACTTGGGCGAGAATATGCCCTCATAGCCATCATTCTTGAGCTCTGGCAGAAAGAAGTGATAGAATTGCTCCGTTTCGATCTCCTGCAGGCTTATGATATCCGCCGAATAGTGACGTATCTCGTCGATGATTGACTTTTTCCGATATTCCCAGCACAGGGCCCACGATGGGCAGTAGCCGTACATTTGCCGTGTCGCATATTTGTCGCAGAGCACATTGTAGCACATAACCGTAAAAATGCCTGCCAAAAGAGAGTGGAAAAATATCAATTAATAGGGACATATTCCACATCAAGAACAGGAATCACTTGTTCAAGGTAGTTATACTAGAATGAACCAGGAATGGCTCCATTAGATCCATGGTTACCAAAGGTCCCCAACAACCGCCTATTGGAAGATCCAGGCACTCGTATAAATAGGTCACTCTCTTAGAGTGCACATGTACCATTGTATATACCTGGATAATTGCTGGAAAGGCTTAGGACTACAACACTTACAGGCTGGGCGAGTTTTGTTCGGCTTGGCCAGGGGCAGCCATGGCCTCTGGGGTGGTGGATTCACAGTAACTAAAAAGAGACAGAGATGAATATATTGTTATTTGGTGAGTGAAATGCAAAGAGAGTCATTCGATGATGAAATTAACACCCAAACATACATTCATTCGAATGTACTATATACCATGCACCTAACACACACATTTGCATGCACGCACATGCTCCTACGCCTACACCCCTATCCCCGGATGACCCACTTCTAGCAGGGTGCATTTCCAGCAGGTGGGACATTCCCACAGGTGACTCATTACCGCTCTCACGAGTTGCCTAGTTCCCGAGTGTCATCTGGGAATGCCTTACCTTGTTTTGATCTACCTTGATCTTCATTCTTTTCCCCCACCACACACACACACATCAAGATTACAAACGGTGAAAGTGACATGCACAAGCAATCAAATTGCTTCCGCCTTTGCTTCACTTTGGCCTTTTTGCATATGTATACAAGGTGAGCGAGAGAGCGACCGAGAAAGAGAGAGAAAGAAATGTGCACTTACAGGTGTTACCTGGATTTCTCCAATTGGCGGTAACTTGGGATGCCTGGGCCATCGGATGGTATAGGACCTGGCGTGGTTGCGGGGGCGCGAAAGATCTTCGCGCCACACCGCCCCCATTTCTTCTGTTATTATCCGTGGCGTCTATTCCTTCTTACAGCATTTTCAAAAGAGGGGGTCGGCGCAGAAATTATTGTTTTTTTGTTTTGTTTTGTCGTTACTGTTGCTTGCTGCTGCTGCTGTTTGGGGATTCTATTATGACCAGTTAGGCGCCGTTATGTGTGGAACGCATTCGTTCAGTTGCTAACCGCGGGCCCTCTCTCCCGCGCGACCTGGCTGCTTGCACTCTCTGGGCTCCTCTCGCGACCTGCTGTCTGGGCGCACTCTCTGGGCCCCTCGCACGACCTCGCCTCCCTCTGCTGGTTTGCACAAACTCTCTTGGACTCCTCCTCTCACGACCTGGCGGGCTGGCGCTTGTTGCTGCGCTGCTTCTGTTGCTGCCGCTGCTGCTTTTGCTGCTGTTGCTGCTGTTGTTGTTGTTGTTCTTGTTTTTGGTTTGTTTCCAAGAGTCGATGATTGTTTTTGCATTTCTTTTTCCCTCTCGGATAATTTTGTTTGTGCACAAATACAACAACCAACGACTAAAAACTTTCACTTATTAATAAATTTTGTGATTTTTTTTTTGGTTCATAATATTATGTGTGTGTTGCCGCTTGCTGTTTTTAGCATTTATTTACTGTTTGGGGGTCTGGGATTTGTTTTGTTGTTTTTTTTTTCTTTTTGACTGTCGTCCCTTTAATGACTACATTAACATAATTTTGATTGCATTTTAATTGCAAACTTATTAATGCAAAAACGTTATTTAATTGGAATTGAAATTTAAATTGCAAACAAAACACAACAGAAATTACGCAGCACACGCAAATGCGTCACCCGAAAAAGTGCGAATAGCAAAACAGGATATTTGAGAGGAGAGGAGCGGAGCAGCGGTAACGGTAACTCTCTTCTCTATACGGCTGACGGTTGCCTCCTCTATCCGTGTGTGTAGGTGAGTGTTGTTTTTGGAGTGTTGTTTGTATGTGTTGGTTGGTTGGATTGCAAGCGAAAACTGATTTTTGATTATTCGACAGAATATTGTAGAATCACAATCTCAATGCCAACTATTTTGTGATGCACAAATACGAGTATCCCCCAAGTGGCATCTCCCAGTTGCTGTTGTTGTTGTTATTTTTGTTGGGATAGGAAAAGAGTGAGTGGTGGATATATTCGTATGGTTTGTGTGTGTGTGGGTGGGGGGGGTATGGTAAATTATGGAACTTTTACTTGACGCGTGCGCCCGCGCATTCGCTTCGAGCCTAGAGATGGCACCTAAACGGCACCCAACAGGTGTGGGTGGGGGATGAATGGGTAAATAATTTCACCAAATTTATGACTGATTGCCCCCACACGACACGACACACACAAACTAACACACACACGCGTGACACATATGGAAAGCAGCGCGTTACGGGGTAACTAAAAGAGAGGAAACCGAACAAAAAAACACTTTTTGACAAAATATTAAAACAAATTTGTTCATCCAGCCAAGCGTGCCTCATTAACAATAATATTATTTGAGGAAAGTTGTGGTGGTATCCACTGAAAGACAGACGAATGTTTTACATACAAAAGACTCCATTGAATATTTCAGATGTCAATATTTCAAATAGTCTTTGATTATCTAATTTCCACACTAAACAATGACCACATGTAGAGCCATTAACGGTACTGTTGTATTTAACTCTTTTATATATGTACGCTTTAAAACTAATAAGAAACATTACCTAAATCTCACACTAACCAAAAAAAATAAAACTTTATTGTTTATTGTTTTTATAGAAGAATGAAAAAATAATAAAAATGAAACTGAAAGTTCCGCTAACAAATATTTGGACTTGACCGATGTTATGTGACATTGGGATCTTATCTGGCGATAATCATAGAGTACCCCGCAAAAAATCCATTAATTTAATGGAAACCCAAGATGCAGTGGAAACAAACTTATGACTGGACAGATCCACAGTAAGTAGGTATGTATAAATACAAATTAGATACAGTTTGATTCCTCAAGAGTCCCGTAGAGTCTAAACTATCGACGAAGAGGTACATTAAGAGATATTTTAGAGCTGTCTTTGAGCATATGTATGTACGTATATAATGGATAACTAGATCTAGATCAATGATTTTATTTCTGTGTTCCTAGCGTCCTTCTTTTTTGCCTTTCATGAATAGAAAATAGTCCCTGTGGGGCACTTTTCTCTTTTGAATCTTCTTCTATTCTATTGGGAGACCTTTCTCCATATTTCTTGATCTTAATCTGAGCCTTTAACCCATCCGTTCTCTTAACCTCCTGCTAGATATCGTTAGATGGAAGTTCGACTATTGCCATCCATTGACCGCTCTTTTGTGCGCCCCCAATAGAGATTATTTATTGCCTAATGGCCGCATATCAATTATATTTACTCTCTCTTGACACGGTTTCAGAGAGGAGGAGAAGTTTCAGACTCAAACGAAGTGGAGCTCCACAAATAATAGTTCAATATGCGGCTCAGCGCTCAGAGCCGAGAGAGCCTGATGTCACGCCATGTCGTGTTTGGAAGTGCCAGCGCCTTCTCAATGCTGCTTCTCAAGAAAGCCCTTTCTATCTCACACAATTTTTCATGGTCGTTGCTTTGGCTCTGCATTCGAAAACAAAAAGAAATGAAATACACAAAAGCCACAAAACTTCAGAAACAGAAAAACGAACACACAACACAACACAAGACAAAAGTTCGAAAGGCAAAAACCCAAGTGAGCGTATCGAAAAAGAAAGTGAAATTCAAATTGAAATTTGGTGCGATTAAAAACGCCAAGAGGCCAATGCGGCAAGAGCCTGTTCCACACACCAGTATCGAGAGTGTCTGTATCTGTGTCTGTGTGGTGTGGTGTTGGGTTAGCCAAGACATTTCGTATGCACAACATGTTGCAGCCACAACGGAGAAGGAGAAGGTGGAGGTGGAGGAGCAGCCACAGCAGATCGGAGGCCTGCTCCGAATAGAAAACAAAAGTCAACTCGCCACTTGCCACACTTCGAAGCACTGCAATTAGATAACTTGTTTCATTTGCACCAGTTTTTTCTTTCCCAATGCGGCATCGAGATCGAGATCGACATCGGCATCGACATCGAAGGCGACGACGAGCTCCCAGCAAATGACTGCCAATGTTCAATGGCGTTCTCCGGCTACTCTTAGCTTCAGTTGGGGGGACTACATACAGTGAAACCTACACATCAAGGGTGGGCAGACTTTTTTTTAATTTTATTGGGAGCAGTCTAAAAACAAAAATAAAAAAAGAGGCTAAGAATAAATCTCGGAGCAATGGAAATCCACAATTGCTATGGATGACTAGCACTTGCCATCCTTGCAAAACAAATGTTAGACAGATCCTTCCTTTTGATGCAGGATTTAAATTTACAAATAAGAAACGCAAGGATCGGGAAACTGACTTTCATCGATAGCTATTTCTATATTTCTGCTAGAAAGATTATAGAATGAGAATCTGTATTAAATCTGTAATCTTTATTTATTAAATGGCCTTTACATATGTATCTCCATAACTCAAACGGGGAACTTCCTTAACATGAAATTTCCCTAACAATAAAACACAATTTAAGTTGTGATGTAATGCTTTTATGGGGCACATCATGTCACCTTGGTAGATTTCCGTGATCCGTGATTTTTTTCAACACAAAAAACTTAGCATATAAAAAAGCTAGTTTCTATCGCAGTGCGGGAGGTTTAACATGAACATTTCAATGCAGCATTATGAGTATTTCTTACAGATATCTGTAACTTAAATAATATCTAAACAATTTTGATGTATGACAAAGTTAGTTCCAGTTAGAGAAGTACGACTGTAGTGAACGAACCACTGGACTGTCGATTCGATGCTTCCACTTAAGACAATCTGGCATTAAAATCATAATAATGAAACACAATTTAAGGTGCACTTCAGGCACTCCATACTCATACTGCACTCCACTCCACTCCAGTCCAGTCCACACACTCGGCAAACACACGTATCGTATGCGTGTGGGAAACCAGTTGGACAGCATTGCAGTGGCAATGGCTGTTGTTAGTTGCTGGCTGGTGGAGACTCTTTGGGTCATTGGACGATCGTGACTGATCCGTGAGCGCCATATTCAAAAGACTGCAACTGAAACTTCAATTGTGCTGCGTCACATGGAAAATCAATTGGAAATGTGTGCGCGCGCGCAGCACACAATGATTATGCACAGAGCGAATGGTGTGGGGGCTTTCTTTCCACCCGATGCAGCATCTTCGTAGGAGGCAGCGGCACTCACGCGATCGTCCAACAATGCTGCTGCTGCTGTTGCACGCCGCCTGGTTACGTTTATTTTTCTTTCGCTGATCCACTTTTGAAACTTTTGCGCGAGCGCACTCGCTCGGCGGACTCGCACTTTCTCTCTCCCGCAGTTGGAAA